ACACTTTACATTAACTTTGTTAAATAGGCAAACTGTTAATCAGTGTAGTAAATCGGCTGTATTTATTTATGGATTTATAAAAATAATTTCAAACACTAAGCCGGTACGTAATTACAATATTATATTGGGTGCACGGCTGCGCCGCGCCTGACCAATTTAATTTTGTAAAAACGTACTAACAAACATTAATCTATCCTAAAACATCGGTTGTATTAACTGACTCTTAATTGGAAATGATTTTATAGTTCAGTGAAAATTGATACATTATACATAATACTCTGCATTATTTTCACTTATGTAGCATACAACCAGCACAAATTACTCGAAGGGGTTTTGTACTATCGAAGAATACACACGTGTATTTTTATATTTCTTGGTTCCATGCATTTTCCTTGTTTACAAATGGTAATATTTTGTTTTGTTATAATTGAATTATAATTGAAATAATATATAGAATTTTTATTTTAATTATATTTTATTGTTAACAATTTTCAATACAGAGAAATAAGAACCCCTAAATAAGGCACAACACGGCGAAATTGAAAATGTTGCAGGCTCGGTTTGACTGAGCCTGTTCATGGACGATGCTGGTAAATCCGAAACATTATTATAATCCAAATCTTTAAATGAGTAAAAAGGCTTTGTCCCAGATGGTCGATAGGCAATCATTTTCATGGAATAAAATAATTCTCCTCACTGAAGTTTAAAATTGAATAATGTTCTTTGTCTCCCTCTCTCTCTTTTCCGTAAATTTTCATAAAAGATTTTGACTTGTAAATTGTTTTTGAAATTCTGCACACTTTCTTTTTTTGCAGAATCGAATCGTTTGATATTTAATTATCGCAGCATTTCATCTGTCAAACTGTCATACTGTAAACATAGCAAACATCTGGAGATTTTCATATTATTCACGTATACAAAGACTTCGTTATCAGTGACTAGATCGACGGTTTTTCTCAGTAGACATCTTTTTTCCGAAGTTCAATTCAATTAAAGAGTTACGTGATAAACGTTAAAATGATTGTTTTCTATATTATATGATGTATTACTTTATCATAAAGTAACACGTTACAGACTCAAACAAATTCTATCGAAGCTATTAGAATCTCTGGTATTCAACATGAAGCATATTTATGATAATCTTTAGTAACATTTATCGGGATAGCGTTCATTGAATGTTGCTCTCCCTCGTTGATAAAAAGTATCCTTCATTTGTACTTTGATTCAGCAGATAATTATATTGATATAAGTGACTAGGAGTCAATATTTACTTTCCCCTTTTCAACTTTAAAATGGATATGACATTGCTGCTTTGTTTCAGAAAATAATTGATATTACATGTATTTGACGGAGAATTTAATATTTTAGGTGGTGAAGTCAAAATGGCTACCAAGTCATGAATATATATATCGTCCAGTCTCTTGTTGATCTTTGTTCTATTTTTGTTCACAGAAAATGTTACAGGCTCGGTTTGATTGAGCCATCCACGCCCCCTAGCGCCGGCTTAAGTAGAATAGCATAGAATAGTCAATTTGTTTCGTATATCAGCAGCCCCTTATTTATTTTCACATTGGGCTTCAACACATGTGAAAATAGATATTCACTCACTTTTAACCTACTCTTGATCTCGCACTGATACGAAAAATATCCCTTTTTACGTATTATTACTTATTTTTGGCAGCCCATTGAATCGTGTTGTAGAGGAAAGATATGGTAAATATACAACGGACGAAATTTTCCGTGATTTCTTTTCTGATCAATCGTTTCTTAGCATTTGAGTTATTAACTTTGACGGATTAATTAATTCAAACGCATTAATCTTGATAGTTTTTCTTTTATTTTCCAGAAGTAAATATTCAGTTCTTACCTACTTTTCATGAAACTTTAAATTTAAATCAAATTAAAGTTATTGATACAAAATGCACTTTTCTAACATTTAAATTCCCACCAGAATCTACAAAATTTAAATACTTCCACTTGAAATTAAAATGTTGATATACTAGTATTTGATTATTATTGCGCTAAATAGAAATCAAAGTGCTGCAGCACTGAATGTGACGGACATGCAACCGGAGAGACCTGAAGGCTTTTGTTTAGAAAAAAAAACACAAAAGGTATAACAGAGAAAATTTGTTCCATACAAGTTCGAGATTTGTAGAGCAATATATTTTATCTGGTATAATTCAGATTTTCTACTTTCAAGCAGAACAAGTCCAAATTTTTAAATACAGAATGAAATTTATGCCTTAAAACTCTGGTCAAACTTGTAAATCAGTGTCCTTATCGATTTATTCCAAGAAATGATATGTAAAAAGAAAAAAAAACTGTCAACGAAATATTTCTAAAATAAAACCATGCAAATAAACTTCAAGCATAATACATAATACATGTGAGAATGTTTATTAGAATTGCTTCATGCTATATCATAGTGGGCATATTATATAGACAATAAAATATAAGTCATTTGTATTTTTATTGCTCTTGGATATGTCTCATTAAAAACATTTTTGGTTAAAATCATCAGCAATTAATGGTGTCTTTTTTTAGAATTTATTTTTATTTACAAGGTTAAGATGTAGAGGCCAGAGCACATCGTTTTTATTTTAATTTAAATGTCACTTAAGCACTACAGTGTTTAGTTGTCCCTTTCAATTTCACACTAAATTCCATTTTCAACTTGATTGCTTCTTACAATTGTATAGAATTTCTGAAAGTATTACATGTAAACAAAGTAAGTGTCCGCTGGTTTATTACATGTATAATGTGTACTCCCTAATCGCTTGTCCGAAAGTCAGCACAGGTGATGCAGAATCTATTTTTAGAATAGTGTTGGCTATTATAATCTCATAGCAGGTTAATTCATATCGTGACCTAGAAAATTATGTAAACAAAACACAAGAATCGGAAGTAGAACTGATATTATAACTTCATTCAAGAAAGATTACCATGAAAGACTACACGGTGGTAAAGTGTTGGTCCCATGCATTTTCAAAAATAGATATTTATAATACTAACCATTGTACTGTAGTCTAATTTATTAATAACTGCTGCATATTCAGCTAAACCACCCGCGGTATGAGTCATGGAAAGAGTTCTTCTTTTAATAAAATACTTTTATTAATGCGCGAGTTATTCTAGAGTCACGAAAAACTTTTGATCTGTTAATAAAAATGTTTAATGGAAAAATATTTTTTTTCCTACTAATAATTTCTACGAATTACGAGCTTACTCCTTAATTATAGCATAATTTGCTGTCCTACTTTTTCGACAGCGGTAGATCGTTTCAGCAGTTATTTGCATATTGCGCAATAATACTACGGGGGCTACAACGATTTTATCAATCAAATACGTTCATATTTTAACTTGGATAACTTAATTCGAAATTGAAAAAGCTAAATATGGAAGTTTTTAAGATATCCCGTCAAAGTATGGGAGTTTCATAGGATCAAATTAATGTACTATTTCTTGGGCTGTTATTCGGTTGAGGACACTTGTGCAATTGTAGCCGACGAAATCCCATGTGTAGATGACATAGGTCTGAACGCTCCTGAGGGCGCGTCCGTCACAAAAATCCAATATCTTATGATTAATTTAAACCACGAAATCTAATACAATTTTTACACTTTCTCTGGCATTTTATTTAGAGGTATATCTTTGTTATATCCTTTCAACAAAACTTCATGTAATGTGTCGCATATGATTTCAATTGGACATAACATTATTGCTAACAACTATTTAACCTTTGGAATAATTGCCATTTTCAAATCATTTCACACAACATATCGGCAGCCTCCTGGTACCTTGATTTTGAAATAAGTTATTAATGTACAGCTACCACAAATAAAGTTAATGAACTATATATTAATTATATGCATCGTAACACACATTTGCAAATTCACGCTTAAATCTCAGTAACAAGCCTTTCAGTTTGCGTGATTCTACCTCTGCCTCAATCGTATTGTTAGGACTACATTGATTCTCACATCAAAATGAAATCACCTGTTAAATTTATCTTATCATTGTTGAAGGAATGGAGAAAATGTTCTCGTTGAGGTACCATTGACCACTATTATATTTATCTGCATTATAAGATAACCAACTTAGAACACAGTTTTCCTCTTAATTTCAGCCATACTCTATCATTGTAATGAATCACAATAAGGTAATTGTTTATGTGTACTATACCATTTGTTATATTTTCTCATAGACTATTGTGCATTTATATTTGACATTTAAATATTGTGGGTAACGAATACGGAACTCCATATGCAATATAAGCTGATATGAGTCTTGTCATATACGTTATCATTAGATAAAAACAAGAGCGATCAGTAATCACATGTGTCGCCTCATGATGGCCAATTTATGTTGGGACAAATTTTGTGACAGACGGACAGACAGACGGACAGTGCACAACTAGACTTGGTACTGATCATTCCTGTAAAGTTTGGATAAAATTGCACTAGTAGTTTATGAGGAGTAGTCCGGACAAGCTTTTGTGTTTCTGGCAACACACAGAAAAAAACACCTTTTTATCAAAGGGACATAACTCGGTCAAAAATCATTCAACCGGAAAACCCGTGCAATATACGCAAGGACTTGAGCTACAGATCAATCCTGTAAAGTGTCATTGAAATTGCATTAGTGGTATAAGAGAAGTAGTCCGGACAAACTTTAGAAATAAAAATAATTAAAGGGTCATAACTCTGACAAAAATCATTGAACCGGAAAATGCTGACATTATGCACAACTAGACTTGGTACTAATCATTCCTGTAAAGTTTGGATGAAATTGCACCAGTAGTTTATGAGGAGTAGTCCGGACAAGTTTTGTGACGGACAGACGGACAGACAGACGGACAGATAGACGACGGAGAAGTGATCCCTATATGTCGCCACTACTCCGTAGAGGCGGACTGTCGCCTCTACGGAGTAGTGGCGACACAAAAAGATAACAAGAATGTATATATGCATTAGAAGACACAAGAAAGAATGTACTATACGCAAGAAAAAACAAATCGGCTATTTCTCCTCCATTGATTTATATAGTTACTAGTAATTGTCTATTTATTGTTAAACTTATTATTATTATAAAATATTATTATAAACACATTGATATTATAAATTGCAAAAGACTTAGTATGCGAAAGGATATTGTGGGGACTACATCGAAAATGTTGCTCTACCTTGTTTATCTCTAGTTTAAGATTTGATTAAAAAGTAAACAAACACAGACAAATGTGTCTCGGGTTTTTGTTTGGGTCCATGCCCTCTGGTAATGGATAGTTGTTACACTCTTTTCAATTACATTTCAAATAATTTGAAAATAAAAAGTTTAAGTGTACAGTACATGTTGATAGTATCAAGATCCCTTTGTGTTACCTAGGCAATGTCCTGATTCAATTACATGTACTTTTCTTTTTAAATATGTTTACATGAGAAATGTAACGAATTGTATTGTGTTTTCTATAAAATTAAGGTGTATTTTTAATTTGCAACCCACAAAGTAGTTATAATGTTTAGATTCTTAAGCATTATTGATAAACTGCAATTAAAAAGCTCGATATTAGAACTGTATGCCAAATAGCTGCAAAAACAAGACAAAGTCTGTCCAAAGCCCGTGATACAGTGTGCCATGTAACATTTCTACACTTGTTTTCCATGAAAAATAATTTCACCAAATACATTGCCATTAACGATAATGTTTCTTGTTTATCTTTAAAGTATAAAAACAATGAAATGTTTGTCATAATAACCGACAGTGCGCTTCCTAAAACTTGAAGACCGAGAAATAAAGAGAAAACTGCTAGTTCGTCTGATGATTCTGGTAACGTACTTGTTACAGCAGATAAGAAGACAGTTAACGTCAGGAAAATAGAGATCGACAATCCCACCCGTTCTCCTGACTCTGAAGGTAACACAAAACACATAACGTCCAATATTGATATCAACATAACAGGGATGATAACATTAACAACGTGGAAAAGAGGTTTCCTTTTAACATCAATTAAGAACAACACGTGATCCCATTTCACGCCTTCGAATATTTTAGTTTGGTTAATTATTCTCACATTTTGAAGATACCATTCTCCCTTTTCTAAGATGCTGTGATCTTGTGGTCTCCATTCGGTGTTTGAGTTTTTGAGTCGGATCGAAGTTGAAGGACGAGTCCATGAAAGGAAATCAAGCGGACATGTTTGTTTGTCAAACGGAAATTTTTTAACAGATATTTTACACGCAACTTTAAATAGGCCCCCCGGCCAAATTGTTGCATGCCCATCGTACTTAAGTATTGCCCTACCATTTTTTTCAACTGAATTAAAAATCGACAAAAAAGTGTCTTGCATTAATATGTCAGGAACCCATATTTTATCACCTGGAACGGTGATTGATTTGACACCATCGAAATCATCAGGATTCCATGTCAGGAATTCATCTTTCCATTGAATATCTAGTATTGTTCGTATTGATATTGACTGATATTTTTCATCAACGTCATGAATGGAAGAAATCACTAAGTTTAAATATACAGAAAGTGCCTCTGTTGCATTCCTTTTAGGACGAGCGTCTTTGCTGTAATTTCCGCTGAATATCATTTTGTGAACGTTCAGTTCATTAAGCTCCACTCTTGTGTCAAATATTAATAATATCCAAATTACTGCACGGAACGTTTTCATTTTTGCATTCTCCGATAAATTCTAAAAGGTAAGGTGTTTAAATACGACGGCATACATACGTTCCATTTGCCAGACAGCCAATGAATTATCATGCGTAAAATTCTATACTTGTTAAGTATTTGATATAGTTTTATTTGGTCGGATATACCGATAAATGCTTTGTACAGGAAAGAAATCTATTCAGTACTTTATACTAACATACCACAGTGGAAATGATTTTCTGTAGATCTGTTTATCCGAAAATGCGTTACTGAACGAAATTCTAAGCTCATATTCACAAAATATCAAAACGCATACTGAATCAATTACGATAATGGCATTTTGTTGAAACAGTAATTTATATTTTCAAGTAGTTAATGATGCCTTACAGGCAAAATATTTATCATATTACAGATAGAGTCTCTATTATATTCATCATAGGAGAGCAGCATGCATAATAGACAACATTTACAAAAGAACATTAAGTACAAATACACATAAACAAAACAGACAATGTTATGAAATTAATAAACACAAAGACATGATAAAAACCAGAATACAACAGTATACAGGCAAACAAAAATCTTGATGTGTTGTACAAAAAGAGGGGAGATACACATCATGAAGAAATCACGTGTAAGACCCTTGAGCATATTTTACGTTATCATTTTATGAAATGTTTTATAAGAAATCAGAAATTTTATCATCAAAATACACACCGACCAGTACGTCTAATAACTGATTTAATAGAGAGCTTGAAATAAGTCTCTTATATGCACTTATATACCATAATTTGATAAAATTGCCTTCCACATACGTACATGGATTTGTTCGTTACAAGAACAGGATATTAACAGATTAAGTGTCGAATTTTCAACAAGAAGATTACACATTTTGCACGCCTCAAGCTTATTGAATGAAAACAACTTGGCTAAAATTGTCAGAGCAGAGAACTAGTATAATCTTCGCCGGGACGTTTTTACTGTATATCAATTAGTTTAAACATATTTATTTCAATATTTTACATATATAACATTTTATATGTATATAATTGTTACATAAAATTGAAAGGGATTAGAACGAAAGAAAACTTATATAGTTCCTCTCCCTATGTATATCCAATTGAAATTTACACTGGCCACCAATGTTGAAAACTTTAAAAATGTGTTCCAATGATATTTTTTGACACATATTTTCATACCGTAGATTAATTTCCCGTGTAAGATACTCTTCCATGCTCCTTTGCTTGGAAATCGTGATGTTTCTAAGGCCGCGTCGACACCTATTCAAGTTTCTTACATGTCACATTTAGATAAGCTAAATAAATGTCCCTTTCAATATTTAATCAGGGACAATTTTTACTGAAATGTCAAATTAAGATTGCCCAGGATTTATACCTTTGTCTTTGCAATACTATCATATTTCTGTCAAATATGTGAATAAAAAAGCGGGAAAATGATGCAATTAGCTAAAAACAATGGAGTAAATGAAATTGAAATGCAAAAAAGTAATTGCATTTTATAGTCTAAGTTTCATGCTTACGCACGTTCACCGACTTTACAGCTATTACCCCTGGTCATCGGGCTACTGGTTTCTATCTATTTAGAGCTTGCATTGCAAATATTATTATTAATCAATGAGTTCTTGTTTAAAGTTATTCCAAGATGCACATATTTGCATATTGTTTTTGTACCTATAGTCCACTTCCTGTGACAAATAGCTTTCTCGTCTCATTGTAAACAACCACAGAACATTTAGAAGGATTGTACTCAAAACACCATAATATTGAGTAGCGATAGAAAACAATGATCATCTAATCTAAACCATGTCTTGAAAGGGAAACTAGGACCAGGTCGTCTGCAACTGTAGGGCTACTTATGTTCATGTTTTACATACAAAAGGTTTGACTGTTCAAGTTTTGATATAAGGCCGTTGATGTAAAGAAGATAGAGCAACGGCGAACTTTTCCCGCCCTGTCTGGTAACCTGCTTCACTTCAAACCAGTCTGACATGTATGATTTGTTACGCACACAGCTTTTCATAATAGAGTAAAGATTAATAAAGCACCACTAAGTGATCGGGTCAATATCACACTCATTTAACATATATATCAAACCATCATGTCACACACTATCAAATGTCTGTCGACGGTCTAGGAAGCATACATAAACTTTGCTATTATTTTCTTTTGCATATAAAACTAATTCTCGAAGGCAAAATGACGTCATTTTGCACCCAAGATTTTGTTGCAAACCACCTTGTTGTTTGCTGAGTTTAGAAAGTATTTTAGATCTTGACGAAGAAGTAGTATGTTCTTAAACAGTTTCAGTATTGTAGACGTAAGCGTTATTAATTTGATAAATAATATTCATATCTAAAATTTTAGATAGTAACTGTTGCGCAATTGATGTAACTGATTAGGATGAATGATGTGCATAAGTAAACTGTAATATAGTTTTATTGATCTGCTCCATTGATATACGATGTAGAATTCTTAAAGGGGATTTGGCTATCTAGGGTATTTTTTATATTTCCGATCTTTCTAGAGTGTTCAGCTCAACTTTCTTGCTGGGTTTGTAGATCTTTTGTTCATCGTTTTGAATTTCATGAATAGAAGTTGTTGGATTTAATATACTTAGATGTTTTTTTTTCTATCAACTTAAGGATATCATTTAACGGTTAAATTTAATAGAGATTATAAGAATCCCTAAAGAAAACCCAAAATTGAAAGTGTTGCAGGCTTGGTTTGATTGAGCCTGTTCATGGACGGTATTGTCAAGTGCAAACTACCGTCCACGCCCCCTAGCACCGGCTTAAGCAGAATTCAACATTTGAACATGAACTGGTACAATTTTGAATTTTGAAACATCCGCAGATGTGTTCATATGGCGGTTATCATGGAACCTTCAATGTAACACGTAAGTGCCATTCCTTGAAAAGCGGCATATGGTCCCCAAGTAAAAGAAAGTGTGAGCCCTAAACGAGAAAACAATGGGCGTAACTAAATAAAATGAAATTTTGAAAGGGGGTCAGAGGTTATGAAGCCTGTTAAATTGGTGTATTCTTTTTAAGTCGATGCAAAATGTTTTGTACGGTATTGGCCCAAGTATAACCGTGCAGTGTTCCGTGTTGAACTAACCTTGGTGCATTCTGTCTAACTATAATTATATATAGAACATTTCTCCGTGAAGCAGGACTCATGTAATTTGATTGTACAAATCCAAAATGGATTTTGGAACCAATTTCAGAAAAAATCATGATGCAGCGTCGAGAAACTTTCTTCAACTTGCTGTCTGCCTATCAAGTAAATGTGTTGTTCATGTATTTTCACTGTTTAAAACTGTTAATATTTTTTTCTTTATTATTGAAATAATATATCTATATATAATTTAATTTTAATTATATTTCATTGTTAACAATTTTCAAAATGAAATGATAAGAGGAGCCCTTATTTTAAGTATCATTTTTGCAATAATTGTTTTGCTGAATAATACTAGTTAATTATTTCAGCAAAAATAAAACCTAAACATTATTGAAATCCAAAACTTTTAATAAATAAAAAGGCTTTGTCCCAGATGGTCGATAGGCAATTATTTTCACGGAATGAAATAATTCTCCTCACTGAAGTTTAAAATTGAATAATTTTCTTTGTCTCCCTCTCTCTTTATTTCCTTAATTTTTCATAAAAGATTTTGACTTGTAAATTGTTTTTGAAATACTGCACACTTTCTTTGGATAAGCGTGATGTGTATAATATTTATATACACGGTTGCTGCAAATGACTTTTAATAGGTAATGTTGTCATAGAAAATGGATTAATGTACTTTAATTTTATGTTATGTTGTTGTCTTGCCATATGCATAAAACTATTAAAACTTAAGCTATAAAATGCAATTACAAAATTTTAATGTACTTTGTAATAACTTTATCGTACATTTTGTTAATTAAGTGAGTATGTATACAACATATTTTTCAAATTTTTATCGAGCCAAATACACAAAAAACTTAAACAAACAAAGTCAGATTTTTATATGTTTTGTGTTTTCATTATTTTCCTTTCCATTTAATGATTTTTCTATGCTTCTACGCGTATATTTTGCAGAATCGAATCGTTTGATATTTAATTATCGCAGCATTTCATCTGTCAAACTGTCATACTGTAAACATAGCAAACATCTGGGAATTTTCATATTATTCACGTATACAAAGACTTCGTTATCAGTGACTATATCGAAGGTTTCTCTCAGTAGACAACTTTTTTCCGAAGTTCAATTCAATTAAAGAGTTACGTGATAAACGTTAAAATGATTGTTCTCTGTATTATATGATGTATTTACTTTATCATAAAGTCACACGTTACAGACTCAAACAAATTCTATCGAAGCTATTATAATCTCTGGTATTCAAAATTAAGCATATTTATGATAATCTTAATTAACATTAAATCACTCAACGTGAATAATGATAACAAATAAAAGCAGAAGACAGTTTTTCTTGATTATCTGAAAACTGTCATTTTTCACTTAACCCCTTATTGTACAGTACTATGCCATCGATTTATCGGAATAGCGTTCATTGACTGTTGCTCTCCCTCGTTGATCCTATAGTTTTGAAAAGAGTAGCATTCATTTGTACTTTGATTCAGCAGATAATTATATTGATATAAGTGACTAGGAGTCAATATTTACTTTCCACTTTTCAACTTTTAAATGGATATGACATTGCTGCTTTGTTTCAGAAAATAATTGATATTACATGTATTTGACGGAGAATTTAATATTTCACACAGTGAAGCCCACAATCCATTTGCCTTTCACATATTAACTTGCTTGTGTATATTTCATAAAGGCCAGTCTCATATAAAAACGTACGTAATATTCAAGGGGCGTGGCGTGAACTAGAGACACTTGGTTCAAACGGGCGAAATGGTTGCAAACTTGACAAAATGGCTACCAAATCATGAATATATATATCGTACTGTCTCTTGTTAATTTTTGTTTTATTTTTGTTCAAAGAAAATGTTACAGGCTCGGTTTGATTGAGCCATCCACGCCCCCCAGCGCCGGCTTAAGTAGAATAGCATAGAATAGTCAATTTGTTTCGAATATCAGCAGCTCCTTATTTATTTTCATATTGGGCTTCAACACATGTGAAAATAGATATTCACTCACTATTAACCTACTCTTGATCTCACACTGACAAGAAAAATATCCCTTTTTACGTATTATTACTTATTTTCGGCAGCCTATTGAATCATGTTGTAGAGGAAAGATATGGTTAATATACAACGGACGAAATTTTCCGTGATTTCTTTTCTGATCAATCGTTTCTTAGCATTTGAGTTATTAACTGTGACGGATATTAATTAATTCAAACGCATTAATCTTGATAGTTTTTCTTTTATTTTCCAGAAGTAAATTTTCAGTTCTTACCTACTTTTCATGAAACTTTAAATTTAAATCAAATTAAAGTTATTGATACCAAATGCACTTTTCTTACATTCGTGAAATTTCCTTTAAATTCCCACCAGAATCTACAAATTTTAAATACAAGTTTCAATGTTGATATACTAGTATTTGATTATTATTGCGCTAAATGGAAAAAATCCAATATCTTATGATTAATTTAAACCACGAAATATAATACAATTTTTACACTTTCTCTGGCATTTTATTTAGAGATATATTTTTGTTATATCCTATGTAATGTGTCGCATATGATTTTAATTGAACATAACATTACTGCTAACAACCATTTAACCTTTGGGATAATTGCCATTTTCAAATCATTTCACGCAACATATCATCGGCAGCCTCTTGGTACCTTGTTTTGAAATAAGATACTTTATCCATGTACAGCTACCACAAATAAAGTTAATGGAATATATTTGTTATATGCATCGTAATACGCATTTGCAAATTCACGATTAAATCTCAGTCACAAGCCTTTTAGTTTGCGTGATTCTACATCTGCCTCGATCGTATTGTTAGGACTACATTGATTCTTAGATCAAAATGAAATCACCTGTTAAATTTATCTTATCATTGTTGAAGAATGGAGAAAATGTTCTCGTTGAGATACCATTGACCACTATTATATTTATCTGCATTATAAGATAACGAACTTAGAACACAGTTTTCCTCTTAATTCCTCTTTAATGTTATACTCTGTTCAATTACATTTAAAATAATTTGATAATAAAAAGTTTAAGTGTACAGTACATGTTGATAGTATCAATTAGATCCCTTGGTGTTACCTAGGTAATGTCCTGATTCAAGTACATGTACTTAATTTTTTAATATGTTTACATGAGAAATGTAACGAATTGTGTTTTCTATAAAATTAAGGCGTATTTTTAATTTGCATCCAACAAAAATAGTTATAATGTTTAGATTCTTAATCATTATTGATAAACTGCAATTAAAAAGCTCGATATTAGTACTGTATGCCAAATAGCTGCAAAAACAAGACAAAGTCTGTCCAAAGCCCGTGATACAGTGTGCCATGTAACATTTCTACACTTGTTCTCCATGAAAAATAATTTCACCAAATACATTGCCATTAACGATAATGTTTCTTGTTTATCTTTAAAGTATAAAAACAGTGAAATGTTTGTCATAATAACCGACAGTGCGCTTCCTAAAACTTGAAGACCGAGAAATAAAGTGAAAACTGCTAGTTCGTCTGATGATTCTGGTAAAGTACTTGTTACAGCAGATAAGAACACAGTTAACGTCAGGAAAATAGAGATCGATAATCCCACCCGTTCTCCTGACTCTGAAGGTAACACAAAACACATAACGTCCAATATTGATATCAACATAACAGGGATGATAACATTAACAACGTGGAAAAGAGGTTTCCTCTTAACATCAATTAAAAACAACACGTGATCCCATTTCACGCATTCGAATATTTTAGTTTGGTTAATTATTCTCACATTTTCAAGAGACCATTCTCCTTTTTCTAAGATGCTGTGATCATGTGGTCTCCATTCGGTGTTTGAGTTTATAAGTCGGATCGATGTTGAAGGACGAGTCCATGAAAGAAAATCAAGTGGACATGTTTGTTTGTCAAACGGAAATTTTTTAACAGATATTTTACACGCAACTTGAAATAGGCCTCCTGGCCAAATTGTTACATGTCCATCATAGTTAAGTATTGCCCTACCATTTTTTTCAATTGAATTAAAAATCGACACAAATGTGTCTTGCATTACTATGTCAGGAACCCATATTTTATCACCTGGAACAGTGATTGATTTGACACCACCGAAATCATCAGGATTCCATGTCAGGAATTCATCTTTCCATTGAATATCTAGTATTGTTCGTATTGATATTGACTGATATTTTTCATCAACGTCATGAATAGAATAAATCACTAAGTTTAAATATACAGAAAGTGCCTCTGTTGCATTCCTTTTAGGACGAGCATCTTTGCTGTAATTTCCGCTGAATATCAATTTGTGAACGTTCAGTTCATTAAGCTCCACTCTTGTGTCAAATATTAATAATATCCAAATTACTGCACGGAACGTTTTCATTTTTGCATTCTCCGATAAATTCTAAAAGGTTAGGTGTTTAAATACGACGGCATACTTACGTTCTATTTGCCAGACAGCCAATGAATTATCATGCGTAAAATTCTATACTTGTTGAGTACTGTATGTGTATTTAAATTCGCGGAAGCAAATTTTCGCGGAAAGTTCCTTTTTGGGGGTCTATACAAATAACGAATCTTGAATCTTGTAATCATCGTGGGAGTTCACAATTATTTTCAATACTAGGTGTCAAAAAATACGCTATTTTACAGAAAAAAGACACTGTCTAGCGGACAGATTATAACAAACAAAAGAATGCCCGTAAACGTGTATAATTAATCATAGTTTGCGTCATAAACATCTTGACATCTGATTAGATCATGTTTTGGTTTTTCTGAACAATACAAAAAACACAAACATTAACTATTTAAAATCATGAATAACTTGGAAAACAAAACACAATTACTCAGTAAATATTTAAATAAAAAGTGTGAAAGCATATCACACACCGATTTACATTGTTCTATAGAAGAGCGAAAATATGACTTTTAAGGAATAATTCGTGTAGAAATATTCGCGCTAAACATGAATTCGCGGATCGAATGTCACCGCGAAGATCGCGAAAATTTGAAGCCCGCGAATATTTCTACACATACAGTATTTGATATAGTTTTATTTGATCGGAAATACCGATAAATGCTTTGTAATTTATGTATTACAGGAAAAAATATCTTCAGTACTTTATATACCACAGTGGAAATGATATTCTGCAGAACTGTTTATCCGAAAATGCGTTACTGAACGAAATTCTAAGCTCATATTCATAAGATATCAAATCGCATACTGAATCGATTACGATAATGACATTTTGTTGAAACAGTAATTTATATTTTCAAGTAGTTAATGATGCCTTACAGACATAATATTAACGATATTATAGATAGATTCTTTACTATCTCCATCATAGCAGAGCAGCATGCATAATACACAACATTTACAAAAGAACACACAAACAAAAACAAACAACCAAAAATTTTATTGACTTCAAGGCCACCAGCCCATGCCAATAAATACATTTCACAATATAAACATTTTATGTGAGCGGTATAATAAACACAATTTAACAAAACATATTCACTATGCGTATATTAGGTTTAGCAAATACAATTTCAATTATCAAGCAATCTCAATTAATCTACAAACATAATTGAATTTTAAGTAATCTGTTCTACATGGTATTAAAGTTTCCATTTGATACAAATGTATCTCTAGTTTTAAAAGTTTTAAATAACATTATAGCTGTATTTTTAACAATATTTTCATTACTACTTGACATAAGCGCATTTAACTTATTCATATCTGGCATTTCATAGTACTTTTTATGCCCCCCGCCATATAATGGCTGGGACATATAGTGTTACCCTGTTTCGTCATTCCGTCATTCTGTCAATCCGTCATCATCAGTTTCCGTTCATTATCTTAGTAATGGTTGAACACATTCAACTCAAATTTGGCAAATGGATATGTCATGAGAAAATACAGGTCAAGTTTGAATTTGGTCATGGTTCGATGATTTTTGGCAGAGTTATGCCCCTTTTACTATAAAAAATAACATGAAATTTTCAGTTTCCGTTCATTATCTCCCCAACGGTATTACACATTCAACTCAAACTTGACATATAAATATGTCATGAAAAAATTCAGGCCGAGTTCGAATTTGGTCATGGTTCGATGATTCTTGGCAGAGTTATGCCCCTTTTACTTTGAAAATAATATGAAAATTTCAGTTTCCGTTCATTATCTCCTCAACAGTATTAAACATTCAACTCAAATTTGACATATGGATACGTTAAAGAAATGCACAGGTCAAGATCAAATTTGGTCACGGTTCAATGATTTTTTGCAGAGTAATGTCCCTTTCACTTTGAAAATAACAGAAAATTTCAGTTTCTGTTCATTATCTCGTCAACAGTGTTACATATTCAACTCAAATTTGACGTATGGATATTTAAAAGGAATGAGCAGGTCACGTTCGAATTTGGTCATGGTTCGATGATTTTTGGCAGAGTTATGTCCCTTTCACTTTGAAAATAATATGAAATTTTCAGTTTCCGTTCATTATCTCCTCTAGGGTATCACACATTCAACTCAAATTTGACATATGGGTACATCAAAGAAATACGCAGGTCAAGTTCAAATTTTGTCATGGTTCGATGATTTTTGGCAGAGTTATGCCCCTTTAACTTTGAAAAAAAAGGAAATTTTTAGTTCCCATTCATTATCTCCCCAACAGTTGTAAGTATTCAACTCAAATTAAAGATATGAATATGTCATAAGAATGCATTGGTCAATTTCGAATTTGGTCATGGTTTGATCATAGCTGACAGAGTTATCCCTCTTAAACTTTGAAAAAAAATCAGAAATTTTAAGTTTCAGTTCATTATCTCCCGAACGGTTGTACACATTCAACTCAAATCTGACATATAGATACATCTTAGTAAAAAGCAGTTCAAGTTTTAATTTGGTCGTGGTTCAATGATTTTGGACAAAGTTATCTCCCTTGAATGTTGGAAAAATTTTGAATTTTCAGTTTCAGCACTCATACTTTTGTGGAAATATATGTAGCCATTAATTTGGCTAGAAATATGCAATATGCAATTAACAAAAGGTAAACACTGAATAGTTTCAGTGCCTTGAACTTTGTTTAAAAATGGTTTGTGTTAACATTGAATAGTTTTAAGGGCTTTGAACTTAAATGAAAAAAAAAACAACATTAAACATGTGCAAACATATATGGAACTAAATATTATAACATCTAAAATTTTGGCTGCATGCTGGGGCATCCGTGGCGTGACGACACATTTCTAGTTATCAATATACAAAGTTCTTATATTATCATATAAAGGACATATTAACAAAAAGTGAAATTCTGACTCTACAGTTGTTTAATAATATGGACACATACGAGCATGTCTATTAACATTTTGATATCACCCACGTTCAATTTCTAAACTATGAGCAGAACATCTAAAACAACTATATACATTCCTATATTTCCTGATTAGTAGATAATTTACATATGATTCAGACTCAAGAGATGTTTTATACCCATAGTAAGAAATCAGTTTTGGACTATTTAAACATTTACTGGTCCATATTTGTATATATTGATACTTAAGTCTTTGCACATATTCAAACAAAAAAGACTTTTCATTAACAACATATTGTGCATTCCATACATATGAAAAACTATTTGACATAAGGTTTTTTCATGAATGAGTTACCTAATTTGTATGTCCTATGGAATCTAATGATTTTAGCATAATATAACACTTGTAAACATATATATGTTTTGATAATTTTAACAATTTAAGCCAATAACAAACAGCACGTTTACAAGTCAATATAAACAATGGAAATCGACCGCAATCGCCTAAGACAGCTGCATTGCAAGCATATTGGCTGCACAGAGAGAAATCTTTTACATGCATTATTATGAATTTGTTCTAGACATTTATGCTTTTGTAAACCCCAGATTTCTGACCATTATAGGAGAATTGGAACAACTTTTGCATCAAATATTTTAAAGTAGCAATCTTTTTTTACTGGCATCAAATCATAGAGTGAAATATGATAAACAAGATCAACAAGGAAAGGAAGGTGGCGTTCAATGAACGCAACCCCCATATGACCCAGCAACAAGAACCAGTGGCAAGGAACCCAGGCGGACCCCAAACAAAAACAGACCAGGGCAAAGACAGGACAGGTTAATCAATAAATGACAAACAATTTGTAACTGATTAGGAATTCAAAGAAAACAAATAAATAATTGAATAATAGGCCCACAAAGTCAAAGGGGAAGGGGACAGGAGACCGGGGGAAGGGGGGGGTAATCAATGAAATAAAAACTAGGGGTAAAGGGGAAGTTACTTACCGTAGTCATCAAAACAGTATGAAACGATATAGACATACATCTGAGGAACACAGAGGGGCACCGCCTTGGAACGGTCAGCAGCATAATAATGACTGCTGGGGAGTTTAAACCGGTTAATGGTGCACCAAACCTCGCTCTTAGCCCCACCATGTTCCTATAAACGAGACAGTGTAAATAAAATGAATCCCCGCCAAGTGAAATTCTAACAGTTGTCATGGTTACAAAAGGTTAAATAAGTAAAACAATAAAATGATCATGAAGAAACATATAAAAGTAAACCCAATGACCATAACAAAAGTACTCAATGTCCTAAAGGAAGACAGAGCAACAAGAAAATCACCTACAAGGGCCCGACGAAGCAAGGCAGAAGACGAACATTAAGACAATTCAGTCCCAAAGGGCTTTAAGAACTATCCATCATAGAGTCTCCCACTTGGCCCGTCAGATGTAAACAAAAGAGGAAGCGGTAGTGTTCAACTGTAAAAGGGTTGAACACTAAACATGCAGTATGTCTTAAAATAGTAGGGTCATAACCGCTTTTAATAAAACTTTTAATGATTTTAGTAAAAACAGCAGAACAATTACCATGACCCAAAATCTTACGAAGTTTGTAAATCACATCGCCATAAAAACCAGGCTGGCTAATCCCTTGTCGCAGAAGAGTTTTTAAATCACTGTTGAATTTAGAAATTAAATCAAAGGTTCGATTGTAAAATTTAGTAAAATATTTCCGTAATTTATGATAGCGGTAGCCCTGTTTTAGAAGCTTGCTGGTAATAAAAATATTCCGCTCGTTGAAATCCTTTACGTTGCTACAAGCTCTAGCGAATCTAATTAACTGAGAACTCAACTTAAAGTCTCTTTCATAGCAGTACAAAACAAATCGGCGACCAGGGGTGCACAATTAGTACCCATAGGAATTCCTATGATCTGTTTAAATAGGGTATTACCAAACCTGACATAAATGTTGTCTAAAAGAAAAGAGAGTGCTCTACAAACTTCGTCACAGGTCCACATAGTATAGTACATAATGTTTAACAATACCGTTAGTAAAAAAAGCTTTGTTAGAATTACATGCTAGAAAGGTAACTTTTTCCCGTGCAAAAGTTTTCTGAATTAGGGAAATTAGTTTATCATTGA